GAGAGAGAGAGAGAGATCCAATGTTCCGATCGATCATTTTTTTAAACGGCTATACGTAAGTGTACAAGATGTAAATTGTTTTAAAACCGGGATTTTATGAATCGTGTTGCACGAGTAAATATCGGATAACTTCGACACGTGGAAAAACACTTTTTAAATCACGACCGGCGTTGCACCAGAGCTGGCGTTTTTTTTTTTTTTTTTCTTTTGATCCGCGTAATAATAATTTTCTAACGAATGTAATCCTTCAGGTGATAAAATTATAGCGATATATATATCGTTATATATCGTGATTCGATATTACCGCGAACGAAAATGATAAATGAATCCAAAAGTGTAGATAGAGAAACTCGAGGTTTCTGCGAAGTGTCGTATTTTCGATTTTATAATCGGATACACGCTGGATTTTTTCACTTTTAACAAGACCGGGTCTTTCGAGTAACATAACATAAAGAGTCAATTTTGGTTAAAAAAGATAGCGAAGAAAAAAAGAAAAAAAAAAAAATAGAAACGAAAGAAGCGTGAAACGCTGAGAAAATTAAAGAGTCATAGCGAAGATGCTTGTCCATTATTTTCCATGTGTGCGTTTTGACACGCGTTCTCTCTTCTAACATTTTTTTTCTTTTCTCTTTTTCGTTTTTTTTTTTTTTTTTTTTTTTTTCTCTTTAATCTCGATCGTACGATAGCGTGTAATTCATCTTTATTTTTGTATCAACGCAAAAATCCAAAACTACACACCGCGTTATTCACAGCGCACAATTTAACTCCGAGACGCGAGAAATGTTCCTTTGAAAGCATGTACGCATAAATATGTACAAAACCATACAGAGCGAATCTTTAAAAGTTAGTAGAATATACGAGTATTAAATGGATATTTTATTTCGACTATCTGGTTGAAAAACCATTGTCTAGAAGAAAATATTTCGATCCGGGATAAACTTTCGATTAATACGTTGCTTATCAATCGGAACCAAACTGAACTGTTTTCCATGTGTGTCGAGATGAATGAAGAAAATGATATCCTCGTATCGATCGATTTTCATTTTTGTTACACGAGTGTTGGAAAGTTTGATTGGATTTGATATGGAAATGAGAATCGAGCTTTCAAAAATTTTCGAGTTTGATAAGCAACGTGTTAAGAGAAAAGTATTCGATAGTTCTAAACACACAATAGACAGACAATAAAGAAAATGCAAGTATCAAAAGAGAAAGAGGGCTGCGCGAATTCTTTTTATGACTCGTTACTTCGACTTTCGAAGGAGAACATTCTCAGTCGAACGAATTATTATTCTACGAAACTGTCGATTATTCGTTGCTAAAAAAAAAAAAAATGTGTGAGAAAAAAATCGATTTTTCTGGATGGGAAATCAAATAATTTTTGAAATTTCTATAACCATTCCAGATTGTCGTAAAACTGTAATTTTTCTAACTGGTCTCAACGTGAACTTTACTGTGAGGAAAGGATACTGTGCGAAATATTCGTAACTTCCGAGGACCAATCTAAATTGTTATTTAATAATATACATTACTTTTATTAACAATTGTAAGATATAACAGTTATAGTTTCGTAAATTATCATTTATTTCAAATTCTACATCTAATTTTTATATTTTAGATCCCTAAAATCCTCTAACAATTTCAAAAATTCATTATGTAATTCTTTGAGCGATTAGAAAAATAACGAAATTCCAAACTTTGAACGAACGAAAGTTCATGGAAATTAGTTTCATTTGTCACTAAAATATATATATATATATATATTTAATACAAAATTAAATTAGACGAATCGTTCTCATTACAATTCTACAAGGACCATCGATGTTTATGCAGCACGAAAGTACGATAAAAATCTCCAAATTTGCAATATAATAAAATTCGTTCCTTCCCTGTCATAGCAACGAATAATCGCCTTCTTGAAACGGTGACTCAAATCACGTCGTTCACAATATTTCACACTTTCTCCACATTTATTCACGCGCCTCTAATAAACAACGGTACATCAAATCAAATCAAAAGCTCGCGGCAAGACTGACGTGTCGTCGGGCCTTTCCTTCGAATTCAAAAGATGGTCTCGTCTTTTAACATAAAAGAAAAGAAAAAAAAAAGACAAAAAAATAACGACGAGACGATTAAAACAAAGAGACACTTAGAGCCTCAGGAAGACCAAAACAAAATAAATAAATAATTAATTAAATAAAAGATGCATTATCTCAGATTCGTAGATTTCCGTTTTTTGATCAGTGGCGAAAGACATATCACCGGCCGTGGATGACGATTTTCGAACAAAAGAATCGGTATAAGTTTTTCAAAGAAGAACGATGGCGGATGAGAAAGAAAAACGAATCGAATCGTTTCGAAAACGAAAGAGATCTTGTTCTTTCGAAGATCGTGCGAAAAAAAAAAACGCGCAAACGGCTGGCAAATCGCTATTACACAACATGGGACCGTTTTAAAGATAAGACAGTTTTTAATTTTATCGTTCAATTCCCTCGCCCAGTCGACGGCCATGCCGCGGAATATGATTTCGCGGCACGGCTTCCGTATATGCTAGTTTCGTAACACATCGATCCAGAGGTCGATTATTCGACGCACGTGGAGGGGGACGTCTTTTTTGTCGCCTTTCCCACGGCGTGTTTCGACAAACCGTGTGGTGGAGATTGATAAATTTATTACAAAAAATAAAAAGATGAAAAAAAAAAAAAGAATAAGAGATAAAATAAAAGAACAGTAAAGACTTACCTCAGTAAACGTAAATGTACGCAAGAATCAAACGTCTTTATGATCGAGAGTACGTATACACCGTAGAGCCGATGTCCTTTGTATATTTTCCGTATTGTAAATAATTATACATACGCCTTATCGGTAATTAATCGCTGTACGATAACCGTCGACCTTGCGCATTATTTAATATATAAACATATATGTGTATATATATGTATACATATATGTATACATATTAAATATTAAATTTATGCGAATTCATTGGAACAATGAAACTTGTGTAAAATTTGCAGAAAAAGCGACGCGTGTCGAGAAAGATACTTCGATCTAGCGAAAAAAATTAATGCTTTAATTAATTATTGTAAATTAATAATTAGCTTTCGATGACTTTTTTTTTTTTAACGAAAGGTGAAACGAATTTTACGAATTTGTGCAACAATTTTTAAACACCAATTTTTGTACATATTATCGTTTGTTTATCCATTGTTTGCGATGTTTTTAATCAATGTAATTTTAATATACCGAGAATTAGCTCTGTTAGCACTGTTTGTATATGTGTAACATTTTTTTTTTCTCATTATTTGATTTATTTTGTCAGCTATTAGCCGATGCTATTATTAATCATTGTCCAGTCTGTGTTTCCTTGAGTTGAGATTTGTTTCTCTAGGAAAATAAATTTTAGCGAGAATAATAAACACATGCGTATATCTATTTTTTGTGTTTTTGTTATACAATTTTTTATGTATTATTATTTTTCTTTTTTTTTATCAGACGAAGACAGAATGATTTATTTTTTCTTTTTTTTCTTTTTTCACTACAATAAGATTTTTCAGTGAGAATCACTACGGAGAGAAGGAATCATGTTGATGATATATTTAGAAATTTTATATTGATTAGTATCGACCTGCGTTGCTTTTTCTCGAATCGAGATCGAGATCGAATATAGAAAATTGTAAG